TATTTAGTAAATTATAGATGACAGATGCCAAGGCACATAATGCATGTGCTCAGTCGTTTCAGCAGTATGGAGTTGCCAGAATGCAGTTAAAGAATTGCAGTGGAGTTGTCCATGGAGAGACTTTATTGTGGCTACTCTTTGGGACAGCCCTTCTTCAAATTATCTCCCTCACCTTCACCGGCATCCCAAGTTACATACGCAGTGCTTATTGCTGTTCTAGTGACTCCACTGCCTAGCATTCAGAGGTCCTGCTGGTTTTTGAGTGATTCATCGAAAGGGAGGGCCATCTTCATGGCAACCCTGGCTGTCCTTGCTAAATTTACCTCCAACTTTCCCAGTTCTGCTTTCTCAGAGCTATCGTGTCAACCACACAGTGGGACTGCATTATCTTTTCCTGGTGAACTAGTGTGGTAAAGGAGTCGGTTTCCTTAGGTGTAAGTTGGAGGCCTCTGAACAAGCACAGGAAGGGGGTAGTTACAGATGCTTTCTCAAAGCCACAGCTGGAGGAGTCTTGTTGGCATTTTTGAAAGCAAAATCAACGGCAGTATGGGTCAGGATTGAGTGGCTGGAGGAGGCAGAGGATGGTCTGTCTGTCTTGGCTGCTGGAGGAACCGCTTGTGTGCCACTTTTCTTAATTGCTATTATTCTTAGATCTGTATTAAGTGCCCCAGTAACAGATACAAATGCTCCAACAGAATCCATGTCCAAAATAGTCACAATCCTAAGTTAATGATTTGATGACTTTAAGCTATCTAATTTATTAAGAAGAAAATTAAGACAATACGGATCCTACTGCATCGTTCTCCTGATATGACACTTAGCCCATACCAGTTATCCTGTATTTAGGCTTGGGAAAAGCTCAGTGGTAACAGAGTTGAAGAGGATAGGTGTAAGAGTGTTGCAGGGGATACTGTCTGCATTTGTTTACCCTCATGCCAAAACAATTTTGTTATAACATTTCTCTTGTTTGTTAGTATGTTATTACCCCTGTCGTATCAGCATTATGAGTGGAGCCTGAATAAATCTGGAATAGCATGCTATAGGAGGCTTCAGAATGTTGGGGGTTTTTGCCAGAGGCGTTCCTGCAGTTCTTTCAGTCGGTCATCATACCGTCTCCAACGTTGGAGGTTTCAAATGGCTTGTGGCCAGTTGTAATTCCTTCCGTATTGCAAAGATTTGCATGGCTTCATGTGCTGAAAGCTGAGTGCGAAGTATTTTGGGGTATTGAAACTCCCTATGTGTCCGTTGCATTAACTATTCAATTCCAGGGTATTTGGAAGGAAACCGACAGCGTTGGCTAAAATACATTCATTTTTGAGAAAATTACAGCTGCGGTGGGATCCGTCTACTATTTACAAGTTTTTCTTCCAGGCAAATATTTGTGAGCCTTTCACTAAATAGCAGATGAACGACATTGGAAGTAGTGCTCCTTTCAAACTTAAAATCAGCATTTGACTGAAAAATGAAATATGCCGAGATGAGATGAATAACCACTGTTTTCTCGTGACTCATTATGCATGACTCATGGCCGAGTATTCTATTTCCCAGTGGCAAAGATAGATGCATCTTTCTTAATTGAAGCAAGTCTCCTTAATCTTTGAGAAGCTGACCTCATTATTCACTGAGAGTAATTCTGATGCTTCTGCGTGGCATCCTAAGGTATGCTTTCCAAAAATCACAGCCACAGTCCGGCAGTTCAGAGGATCGATAGGCTGTGCTTCAGGGTATGAGACCCCACATTGAGAGAATTCTGGACATTGCCATTTATGCGTGGGTAAAAGGGAACTTTTGCTTCCTGTAATAGGCTGAGGAGAGCAACCAGACAGTGCTATACTGGTAGTCACACACCTCATGCAAGTGAGTGTTAAGGATCTTGTGGCATTTCTTATGAAAGCTGTGTTTTGCCCATTGTCTGGATGAAAATAGCACCCAATGCTCTGCAGCGTGCTCGCTGTCTACATGCAAGGTGACTTCTGTCTTTTACCAGTGACTTATATTCCTTAGATACATACACATATGGTAATTCTACATTTTTCCAGCATGTAAAGCACAGTTGTAGCTGTTACATACTGTGCACATGCCCCTCGGCAGGATGGTGACTGAGCGAGTAAGCGTTTCACGTGTACAGTAGTACAGCACAAGTGAAGGAGGGTGTCTGAGATGGAGCCGTCATTCCAACATGTTGCAGTTGCTTGTGTAAATCCCCACTTACTGAAATGCAAAATTACACCTTTATCCACATATACTAGTGTAAGATATTGTAATGACTGCTTTCAGTACATTTGAGGGTAATTTGTCATGCCTTTTTGCATAGCCCTTGAAAGGGCAAATCTGGTAGTTGTTCAGTAGTGGCTTCTGCAAACTCTACAAGTAGCAATGAGGTCACAAATCATGTGAATTCTTTCATATGTTTTGAACGAAAAAGGCTACTTTAGGCAAAGCATAAATGCAACCATATGCCCATACCTTGGAGTCTTCACTGAAGTTTGACAATGAAATTGCTGTGGGTATGATTTGTTTTCTGAAGAAGAAACTTGCTTTCAGAGCAGCAGCACAGCATGAATTAACTTGCTGGGCTTTTTTTCTAGTTAAGTGTAAAAATGTTTAGCGAGTACAAAATTGGTGATTCGTTTGGTGTAAGTAAGATTTTGGTAATTCTTGAAGACAGTGCATGCCTTTGTTTCCTGTTAGAAGAAAGAGGCAGCAGTTAAAACCAGAAGAAATCTTACTGCGGTCTGTTCCGTAGGAGAAAAATGTGCAAAGCGGAGGTGGTATCCTTTGGTTAGTCTTACTACAACTCTTCCATTAGTGTGGAAGTATCTACTTAGACTTGCTGAACAACTGTTTAGTATTAATAAAAGTCTTTACAGCGCAGTTTACTTTTCTCCTGAAGGGGGAAAAAAAAGTGTGGGCTTTCCCCTGTTGACTTTCCCACAGTGATCCTCATAGTCAACCTGAATGACTTGGCTGTGGCAAATAACGCGACAATCGCAATTAAACGCAGTCTCCCAGTATTCTGCATCTCCATAAAAAGGGCACTTTGCAGAAGTTGCTTCGGGGCTGAAAGGAACGCGCCCTTCAGCACTAAAACCGTAGCGCTGTATGTGATTACAGCTGCTGTCTGAACACGATTGCTCAGAAAGATTACCGAGAAATCTGCGGGTTTGCGCACCAGCAGCGACGTTGGTTGTGTTCAGGGTTCTCCTGCATGTAGAATTGTCTTCTCTGGAAACCTGTGGATTGCTGGAGGGATTTACTGAATAAGCGCTGTGTGTGTTGGAGTGGCATCATTGCAGGTGAAAGGCAAAGGTAACTTTAAATCGGTATTTCAGTAGGAGGAGGAAGCAGCGGTTCTCTTTAGGTGAAGCTAACCAGTTGTACTGGGAGTGTAAAATCAGTCAGACAAGGAGAATGGTAGTTAAAGGGAGGCAGAAGTGAACAGCGGAAGGAAAGTCTCCAAATCGGAGAAGATGGTGTTGGCGGTACACGCCGGCGGGCTGGGGTGCTGCCAGGCTCTGCTCGCCTGCCGTTTCGCGCGGAGCGCGCAGGCAGCGCGCTGTGAGGTGGCTCGGAGCGCGCTGGTGGGAAGGAAGGCTTCCTCCGTGTCGGTAAACCTGACTCAGAGCCGGGGACGGCCCCGAGCAGCGCTGCTGTCGCTGTTAGTCACCGCTTAGCTGGTATCGTTCGGTGTGACCCTCTAACGTGGCCATTGCTCAAGCTGCACGCGACGGGGTACAGCTGCCTGCATCACCTGTTCCCGCCTCTTTCAGCAAAACGAGAGGAGTCGTTCGAAGGAGGGAAGCGGTCACTCGTTTTGCATTTATTTTTCCCGAAGTGCTGAATGTGGCAGGTTGTTGCAGGTGGTGAAACAAAGGGAGCTGCACCGAGTAATGCCCGTGCAGTGGAGCCTTCCGCCAGCTGGGAGTGTGGCCTGGGTGCTGTCTGGGTTGTGTGGTGGTAACAGGCCAAGCTGCCAGCTATTCACTGTAAACCTTAAGTATTGATACTAAAATGTCTGAAAATACACCAGGCATATATTAGATGTTCCCAGAATCGAGGTATTACTTTATCAGTGATTCTACCTGCTGTGTTGGTGTGCTACGTGAAAGCAGACTGCGTGTGTAGGGGCAGAGAGAGTAGATATGGCTGTGAGTGATACTACTATGACTGACCGTCACTCATTTCCTCTTTGAAATGCCATCAACTTCAAACTGTTGGACAGAATCCTTTATTTCCAGGTGAACTTGGGATACTTTCTTTAATACAAGGGCGCAATCATAAGTACCAGAGTTTTTTCTCAGTTTTGTGTTATTGCTAAATTTACAGGTGTACCGAAGGAAAAACAACACTGTATGCTGCAGTAAACCCCAACTTTTAAGAAGCGTTAAAACACGTGTCAATGTACAGATTAAATTGTGCCAGTGTGTTATCATGTTATAAGCCTCTTTATTCCAGAAAAAGCTGAAGTAAATGTGTCCTACTTAAGAATACTGAGGGAAGATTTATTTGGAAACCACGTACCATACTCTGCCACCTTGCACTGCTAGCCTTCCTCCCCAAAATCTTGATCCTGAAAACCTTTCCAGAAAAGGTTAACAGAAGGGAATTGCACAGGAAAGAGACCCAAAGTTGTTGCCGAACTCTGCTGGAAGTCTCCTGCTGATCATTAAAGTGATGTTGAGAAGCCTTTCAGCCTGGCTGCCAGGAGGGTCTCGGGGGCAGCTGGGGTGTGCACGCTCCTGAGTGGAGCTCAGTGCCCTTCCAGAGGGAGGACAGGGCAGCGGCTGGGTCCACATTCCTGTTCATTCTGGGTGATTATTGAATTGGGGGAGCAAGAATGATTTTGATGTTAAAAATGAAGGCTTTGGTTACTGCTTGCAATGTAAAGTTTCTGCCTTTGAATTGGTTGTGGTCTTAGTCGTGTTAATATGCTGAAGAAATTAAACTGATAACTTCAAAATTGATTTTTTTTGTTCCTAATGATGTGTTTGTTAATGCAGGCAAGAAGACAGCAAGACCCTAGTCCTGGATCTAACTTAGGAAGTGGCGACGATCTCAAACTACGTTAATCAACAGCAGCAGACGTACCATGGGTCTGCACACATGCATTGCTTCTACTTGGCAAAGGATTTAATAAAAGACCAGAAACTGTGATAACTGGGTAGACTATGGTCTGTTTCCTGACCTGCGGCAGTCAAAATCACCACGAACTGCCATGGTTTGCACTATGTTTATGTTACAATACCTGCATTTCCCATTTTAAGCATGTAGCCAGTGGCAATTTGAAATTTTGATTTTCTATGCAAACTTATTTTTGTTGGCACTATTTTAGTGAAATGGAAACTTATGCAGCTATAAAACCATTTTTCTCAACTGTAATAAAAATTGTCACTTAAAAATAGGTCAAGATATTACAGATTTAATACTTCTTTTTTTGGTGGGTTTTTGTTTTGGTTGGTTGTTTTTTTTTTTTTTTTGTAAACTGCTGGAAGCCAATGCATTCCAAGCTTAATTTTTTTAATATGGGCTTTTGGAATTTTGATTGTCCTTATTGTGCTCCTGCTTTATTTTAGATATGCATTCTTACCTTTTCAGTTCTCTTTTTTTTTTTTTTTTCCCTAAATTTGCAAGACCTTCTTCAAACTGCTGACATTATTTTGCATGATTTCCAAGCTAAACCCAGTGAATCAGAGCTGTTGGAATCAGTTTTCAAACTTTGTGGGTTTGTAAACGTTACAGTTGCAGTATTCTTTTGACTGCGAATAATTCATTGGTTCCACTTTTTAAATGATAAAAATCCTTAAAATGTATATTTTCATGCATTAATGCGTTCTGCCCCAGTGCCGGTATCTGTCTTTAGATTTTATTCTGTATCGAGTGAGTTTGGGTGGTTATTATACCCCTGTATATAGTACCTTACTGAAACTCAGAGGAAGTCGCAGGCTGGCTTCTGTTTTATTCAGGGATTTTTTTAAATAGTTCTGAAAAGGGATACTGCAACTCTACAATTGGATTCAACAGCATGTGAAACTGGGAACAAAAGTGATCAGCTGCCAAGGTGATATGTATTAAATCATGTTTAAGATAGCTGCTTTAAGTATATTTTGTATCTTAGGCTTTTTGTAAAGTTGTGCTGAATGGTGAAAAGTTGAGATGAGGTGGTGTGCAGAAAATCTCATGCTGTGCATAGGACACTTCTATTAAATCTTATGCAAATCAAGACTCCATTGCAGTACGTATTCCATTTTCTAACAGGGTAAGATTTGGGATGAGTTAATCTGTGTGAATTCTCTTGTTTTATTTGGGGTGACGGTGAATGGACTTGTTCCAAGTTTTTCATTGCATCCAGTAGTTAAAGAAAATGGATTGGGAAGGTGATGTCATTTGGCTTTGTTAAAATGTGGTGCTTCCTGTACAGCCTGATTAATTAAAATGTCGCATAAATACCTTTTTTAAAATAAGGTGATCTGACTTCAGTATTTTAAGAGTTATTTTGAAGGTGGAAACTCTGTATGGTTAGAACAGTTAAATCTTTATTAAATTCTATAATTAAGATAATCACATTCCGTATTAATGGCAAAATGATGCAAAAGAGGTCTTGCAAAAATAAAAGCAGATGTCAATGTGAAGGAGAATCTTTTTATGTTAATAATATGAATATTTAACATTCACTTAAAAATGTCCATAACTGTAAACTGTGAGAATGTAATCAAATAGAAATATTTTGATACTTCAATTTAAATGTGACTCACCAGAAAGAACCTTTTTCACTCTGTAGCCACGTATTCTTCTTGCTCTTCTTCCCCCAAAGAAATAATTTTTCTAAAGTGTTTTCTGCAGTGAGTTATTTAAGGGACACACGCACGCATCTGCACGCATCCCGAGCCTTGGATCTTCTCTGCCATCTGTGTATTTTTGATGGAATAGTCTGAAGATTTATTTTAAAAGGTTTTTCCTAACGTTTCAGACGGTGGTTTTAAACCCTAAGTACACAGGAAATTATGCTATCAGATATTAACGTTGCTATCTTTGTGTAAATACTGAACTTTCCCTATCATCAGTTAGCGTTACGCTGCTTTCGGTGTCTTAATGCTGGCATTAAGATCACGAGCCCTTTCCCTCTGCTGGTTAGTGCAGACTTTTTAAAGTGCATTTTAAGTTATTGATGCAATTTGATATTTTTCATAATTTCTATTTAAACCGAAGTTGCATCATCTTTCTCGAATTCATCTCCTGTAAGAGTTGCCTTAAGCTCCAGGATTGCTTTTGCTACTTTGTGTTGTATGTTTTAACTTTCATAATAAACTTCCGTGTAGTGAAAACGAATCGCCGTAAATTTATTTCCGACACCCTGAGTCCTTCACGCCGACTTACGCTGTGTTCATGGGGTAACTTTTCCAACCCGGTGCCAGGCTGCCTCGATGACCATGGGTAAAGCAAGAGTGACATCCAGTGGTCACTTAACGAAGGGGAAACCCCCCTCTTCCCACACACACCCCCTTCAATACAAGGCGTATGTTGGGGAAAATGGGGATTTTGCTGCACTGTTGGGGAAAATGGGAATTTTGCTGCCCTGTAACTCCTGTGGTGTTTTTACCACTGAGAGGCCCTGCGTGCTCCGAAGGCCTGGGCCTGCTGACGGAGCCCCTGGGCCGTGAGGGTGGCGCACGCTTACGGAGCGGGGTTCGTGGGCACGTTTTGATAGCGGCCGTTCGCCCTCGCTAGCTGTGGGGCTTTGGGCGGGGAGGAAACCCAGGTGGTTGACATGTTGAAGTTGAGGAAATGGAGAAATGCGGTGAAGTGCTGTGGGGAAAATAGGTGAATCTTGGGTGCTACACCTGAAAACCCTCTGAAGCTGCTAGTTTTAGATGGTGTAACCTGTTTTCTAATACTGAACGCCAGCAGTGGCTCTGTACCGAAACCCTGTCCAGGATTGCTTTCTTAGTCACTTGAGACCTGCAGTCCGCTTTGGAAGCGTGTACCTGCCAAGGGACCGTGTGTAACCCCGTTTTGTGCTTTCAGAGTCCAACACGAGATCAGAGTGTGGCAAACAGATGGTGTTGACCGGGACCTGTGGTGGTTCCGAAGGCGCTGGGAAGGGAGGTAACTTCTGAAACAGACGTCAGTGACAAACGGCGTAGCCGATTCTGCGTTCGGACGGCAGCTGGTGGCTGTGGGCTCATTCTGAAAGGCACCCTCAAAGAGCAGTTAAAACCATTTGCTTTACCCCAGGTTCATGGAATTACTGACTTTTCAGGCCAAGGTGCATCCCAAGTGGATGAGTACTGGAGTTGTAAAGCCTTTTCTCGAGTGGAGGCATCGGGAAGACAGGCACTTTGTCCCCTCCTCTTGGATTGAGTTTGCTCTCTGGGGTGTGTGAATAGCAAGGGGAATCTGGAAATCTTCCCAAGGCGCAGAAGAGGATATCTCAAACATTTCACTCCTTTCCCTCAGTTAGCATGGCGTAGGGATGGCTGTGTTCAGTCTGGGGGGGGAAGACCACGGGAAGCACTGGAGCTGATTGGAATGGAGAAGGATGTGAGCTGGAGCACAGCTGGAGGAGGTGAGGGATGGTCCCTTCTGGCTCCCTTTGTTAACCTCTTGCAGTTCCACTGCCTTTCTCACCTGAGAGAATCCAGAGTCTTAGCTGTCCACCCTGCTTTACTGAAGTTCCCAAAGCCTGAAGGAGCAGGTTTCCTCGTCTCGAAGGAAGCGGCAGCGATCAGCAGGCCCGGCCCATGCTCCTGCTCCCCTTCTGAAAGCAGGAAACTATGGAAATGAAACTGTGGGTGAAAGCAGCAGCTTTTCTGTTCCTGCAGATCGTGGCGTTTATCTAATAACGAGCCTTGTTGGGGTAAGGGCTGGGAAGTTGAATGAAGGAGACGCGGTTTTGGAGAACGCTGAAATTGCACGGCCTAGCAGGGTTTTGGCAGGACCTCTGTATTTTTTTGTTGTCCGTCTTTAGCTCAGGACTCCGCTCTACTAGAGATGCGTTTAGGAATCCATCCTGTCTGTGTAGAAATAGGCCCAATTTCGGTAAAGTTACATTATTTCGTTACTACATTTCCAATGCAAATGAGAGAACGACAAAAACGTCTTCAAGGATGAGAGTAGCAGTGGGAAGTTAGAGCAGAGCGAACATTTGCATCTGCAGCATTTCTCATAACTCATTTGCCTGACATCCTGTCTTCACACTGCCACGAAATGTAAATCCCAGTGCATGCATATTCATCAGCTGCTGCACGCTCGGAGCTGCTCGGCGTTTGAGGAACTTTAATAAAAGCTTTCTCAATTACAGGTCGAGATAAGTGAATTTCCAGAATTGCTCTGGGCTTGTTTCTTAAAGATCAGGAGTAGGGCGGCGGAATAAGGCCGGAGAGCGGGCACTGCCTCGGCCGCTGCTGTCACCCTGCAGTCATGGGTGGCCGAGAAAAAATCAGGTACCTGTAGGAGGGGGAGTAGTGGGAAAAGGGGATGTTCTTGTTCGGCTGTGCGCTGCCTACTTGGCCTGGCCTGCAGTTTATCGCAGCTGGTGAGACTGGTGAAGTTCTTGTTGCTCCCCATGATGCTTCTGATCAGTAACTCGGTGTTTTCTACCCCATCAGACGTGATGACGGTGTCCTGGGGGATGTGGGTTTTCCCAGTGCTCCACTTTCCCTGGTTCCACAGGCTGCAATTCTCTTATTTTTCCGGGGAACTGCTGACCTTACCGCCTTTCACCCTTTGGAATCCTTCCTCAAAGCAGGTGGTGGGTTAGCTTGAAAACAGAAAACGGAGCTGGAGAAGGCTCCCGCCTCTTCCAGCTGTTAGCCGCTGGTTTGCTGAAGAGCCTCACGCACTTGCATCCCCCGGCCCCTTCAGCTTTTGCTACTTGGGCCGTGCAAAATCCAGCAAAGTGTAGGCCCAGACAAATCAGCTGTGTGAGAGACCTAAAGCTTCTCGGCAGCTGGATGCGCTTGGCCTTCAAGGCTACAGGAACACGTCACTGCCGAGGCACGTGGCTGGGGTGATGGTGCTGCTGCTGGGGTGTTCCAGCAGGATTTCGGAGCTTTGGCCCTCGGAGGTCTCGGATACAAAGAGCTGAGGTCTCTATCAGGAGGGGAAGGAAGCCCATTCATGGAAGAAGCCACACCAAGGTGGAGTTAACCAGAGGTTGGGCTTTGCCTTCAGGAACTGAGCAGGTACCTGAGCACATCAGGTTGGAAGAGAAAAGAGGGGTGGGTGGGAGAGAAGGGGGACCTGCTGGGGCAGGCTCTTTAATTCAAGTCTAGTGGGCACTGCTGCGTGTGCCCTTGCTTCAGGATGGCCAAAACTCTTGTGGCTTTTGGCTTGATCCTTGCATAGAAGAGGAGACATGGTGCTGAGGGCTTATATTTAGTGCAGTGGTTCTGGCTGCCAAGTAGTGGATTTGTTCTAGTGGATCTGGGTAGGCAGGAGGAAGGGGTGTCCCTCTGTATGAGCAAGGATGCTGGTGTGTGAGCGCCCTGCATCCTGCACTTTCCATCGCGCCTGCCTCCTCTACCTTGGCTGGAGATAGGATCTCCAGTCCCCGTTCCCTTCCTGCTGGCGCAGAGTTGAGCCCTTGGCAGAGCTATATTTAGGTCCTGATGTAACCACATATCACCGTAAGACCTCGTGGGAGG